AATTCATCAAGTTATCACAGAGCACATTTGCAGAGACCCCTTTGATCACCAACCTCCTATTCTGCAACCCATTATAGTGTCAACTTTTCAGAAAGACACCAAATAACAGAGGAGATGGACAAAGTTTTCGAGAACGTTATGGAAAAAGATGAAAATATTTAGATAATTAACTTGTTTTATTTACCTGACAGTACAAATAAATAAAAAGCATGATAAGCAATGAAAGGGTAATATTAGAAGATAAGTTTCCAAATTAACTCTGATTTAAATTTCATTAACTCTTCACAAACATTCGTAACCCTTTTCAAATGGGTTAGGCCTAATAAACTAAAGGAAAGCATAATGCCCCACATCATCTGAACACATGACCTTGTCCAAACTTTAAATAATTTCACAACACTTCAGTGTTATGTTAATTTATTTTCAAAACTGTACTTAAGTAAATAAAAAGGATTGATTTTATTGCTTAATATTTTAAATAAAACTCAAATTCATTGAAATATATTTGTTTAAGAAACTATTTTGAATTTCTAATAATAGAAGTCATGAATAAATGCCCTTCACTAATATTTATACCTGAGAAATATAAGATATTTATCAACATCAGGATTCTAAAGAAAACAGAATCATTAGTTTTTTAGTACTTTGTGTTCTATTTTCTATCAGCTTTCAATGTCAGATCTTGGCCAATATTGGAAACTCAGTTTTAATCTTTTTGGTATCATTTTGAACCTTTCAAATCAGAGTTCATATCCAAGTCATTGATGTTAATACTAGAAAAAAGTTTGAGACTTTGTACATAGAAAGCATTTAACAGATTACACATCTTTATGATGACCATCATAAGTTTTGAAAATACAGCAACTAACAATAATCATGTTTTTAAATTCTCATTAACATTAAATTTTCAGTTATATACAAGACAATGCAAATTTATGCCAAACAATCAATAAAATAGTAATAATATCCTATATTAAAATGTACACAGAGAAATGTACAAAATATACATAACAGTCAAATTAAAAACATTTTTTATATTGTTTTCATTTATATACATTGCATAGCAGCAACAATTCAAGAAAGCTTGAACAATAATTTGGCAATTTAATTTTAGAAAATAGATCTATATCACAACTGTCATATTATTTTACATTCACCCTAAAATTAAAACTTGTGCAAAGAAACTATACAACTGTAGAACAACGATATCAAATAAATACGATTTTAAATTGAACAGCATACTCAATTAAATTGTATATTTCACTCTCTAGTCAGTCAAACAATTTATCTCTTTATATATCACATTTTCCACTGACATATTCATGATTAATTCATAGTATAAATGTCTTTCAATTCTTTATATAAATATATTCACTTACGTCTAGTAAAGCATGCACAACCATTTTCTTGTGCATAATTTGCTAGTAGGAAAGGCCTCAATGCACAAGTTACATTACATATTTTGGTGCAATTAGCTCTTTTCCAAAAAGATGTACAATAGGCTGTGTTACATTCACTAGTTTTTAAGGATATTGGCCTTAGTGCAGAGAATTGGCATTTATGCTAAATGCCTATTTGGCCATGGTAAATATTAAATAACATAACTGAAGAAGCAACATTTAAAAAGAAATGACTGTTACTCTTGAGTAGGTGGAACTATCTGAAAGTCCCATTAAATATGCCTCAATATGATAAACAATGAAAAGTTTCTTCCAGAAATAATTCTTTCATTGCAATACTTATTTCACAGTTCCTCAAGTTCTAAGCTTACTCAATTAAATTTTTTTTTTTCTTTTTCGCAAGATGGAAGCTCTATGAAAATGAAATGCAAAAGTGTTACTTCAAAGAGGTTGGGGAATCTTGACATGTGAAGTGATCATAATGAATAACTTTTGAGGCTGTGGTTTTAAATGAAAAGAAAATTATTCAAGGATGGTATTTTATCATAATGATCAGCAGAAAAAGAAAATTAGTTATTTCATCTAATCATGACCTTTAGCAAATTGAAAAAAAAATACAAGTAAATTATTGAAAAGTTAAACACTTTGAATGAAGAAAAACAAGGCCATATACAAATGGAATGAGAAAGAAAGAAAAAAAAGGAAGAAGAAGAAAGTTTAAAAATTGTAAAGGAGGATTTATATTGAAAAGCTTAAAAATTCTATTTAAGCAATAAAAAATATTGAAAATGGATTGTCAGAGAGAGAGAGAGAGAGAGTAATATTTGCCTCCATCATGATCTCAACCTGGGTTCATTGACCTGGACAGATGCTCTTGCTGTCTGAGTTATGGAGTCTAGCAATACTCATGAAACAGTTTATTGATCAGACACATACCAGATTACATATATACTACACAAATTGATGAAGAGGTCAATATACAGCTAAAATACATATATTTCTTTTGTAAATATCACCTTCACCCTTTTGTATAATTAATTTAAAAAAATGTTACAGAAGGGCCTGGAATCATCATATGCCACATTTTGGTACCAAGTGAGACCACCTATACAGCTCTCAACCTCTGTGTCTTTGTAAATAAGTAGTATTTGATTTTGACAAAAAATGGCTGAGATTCAATAAAGTTTGTCATAGATTTCTTATGGGGGTCTGAGTTTAGTCAGGGGATGTGACATTTTGTCTCAAAACACAATTCCAATCTAAAATGGAATGACTATCTGCTCATGAGCCCTTTAAATTCTATCCATCACTACTTTATGTTTAGAAAATTATTGATGCAATTACTAATCAAACTTATTCTTCAAAAGCATCAAGGTCATGAATAATTTAAGTATTTGAAAAAGGAACAACACATTGTGAATAGCTTACAGTGTTATTATTTGATATTTATAATACAAGCAACATCAATAATTATAAATTTCATCAAAGAATTCATTATAAAGGAAATGTCAATTATAATTTAATTTTGAACTACTTTAGTTTAATGTATGATTCACAAAGTTGAATTCATAAGTCAAAAAATGAAAGGAGATCTTTTCTGAATATCAAAACAAATATCCCCCGAAAGTTCTTAGATGAGATAAAGAAATTATTGATGAATTCTCAATAACAAATGTGTTGCATATTTACAGGTACTTAAAAGGATTGATCACTTAAGAAGTAAAGATGTCAATAAATTATTTACAATTATAATCAAAATATAAAAACTTCATTGTCAAAATATAAATTATTTTGCTGAAGAGGTAATTTTTGTATGATATCATTTACTTTCATATGAAAAATTACCATGAATATCAGAATAATCAAAGTCATACATTTTATGAAAGTATTCATCAAGAATTCATATGTAGTATATTATTCAGCCTAGATGCCAATAAATATGGTATTGACAATTTTTATTACTGTTTTTGTGTTCTGAATAACATAAAAATGAAATTAACAAATTAAATGAAATATTAATAATGTTTTACAAAATCAAGTTTATTTCAAGTGGTGAAAATCTGATGAACTCTTTGCCAAGGCAATGATTCAAGTCCCAACAATTTTATTATAAATTTATTTAAAAAAAGTAATTAATAAAATAAATAACGGATAAGTAAATTTATACATGATAATTACTTAACTAATTAAATAATTATCAAGGTATATATTACAGTGTCTCAAAACTTAAATTAATAGACAAGTTTCTTGTTTGACTGAGAATTATTAATCGAAGGGGCACTTTTAAGAGTGTCTCATTGAGGAAGAGAACAGATTAAACTACATTTCTGCAATTTATAATGAAAGGAGATAAAAATACAAAGAAAAAAGACTTCTATGTATATTTAAAAATATTGAAATAAAATACTATTATAGAAAAAAATATTCTTCAAGAAAAAGTACATATAAAAGATTGTCCCTAGTATTTTAGACATGAAGAATGTCCATTGGTTATTTTAAATAAGTAGATGTATTTCTAAATATTTTATTTTAATTTTAAAATAATTAATAGACATTTTTGATTGCCTAATGTCACATGTGACTATATATTACATTCTCAAATATCTAAACATCAATTGTAAAATAGCAACAAACAAAAAATTAAGTAACAGCCTTCATAGAAATCTTTTAAAATAGAGAAGAAAATGACATATTTATTTTCCTACAGAGCATTTCTCATCTTTATCCTGCAAATCTTTGTGGGTCTATCCCTTTGGAAAGTAGACATTATTTATCTTTCATATGTCAATGAAATATGTTACACAATTTATGAAAATATTATGCTCATTGCTGCCTTTGAGGATTTAATATACAAATTTGATAACTTATACCTCTTAATGTTTAGCTTTTATACTGGAAGGCACATGTATGAACCACCATCTTGAAATTGTAAATGATTCATTTGTGCTACCTCACCCTGTCACAATTGAGTACTTTTCCTACAGTGCTCTCATATCATAACAATATATGATACCTTTAGAAAATACACTAATGTACAGTATTTATCAAAACAATGTTCACAGAGGCACTCCACATTAAAAAATTAACAAAAAATAAGATAAAAAACTTAGTCTAGTAGGACCACTTCAATTGTGATGAGCATGGAATGAAGCAGAAAAGATAAAATTGACATTAGCTACTGTGAACTAACATCAGTACAGTCTTCATTAGGTAATATGAGCGACTTGTGTTTGAAGTAAGCTTCAAAACGGTTTTCTCCATATGCCTGGAGAGAAGAAGAAAAAAGAAAAACAAAACAAAATATTATTTAAAAAATATAATAATATATAATATAATAAAGTATTAATATATTAATTTGTAACAAAACAGCAAAATATAAAGGAATATAATATTATACTATATAATATTGTAATATAATATATAATGCTTGCTTTAGGTCTTCCAAATTTATTTTGTATAGAAAAATCCAATTCTTAACTTACCCAGTAATCAAATGTTATTTTGGAAACAGTGGCATTGACAACACTCCAAAGACCCCAGAAAAAATGTGAAGCAAGGGTAAAAGCTTTTGTTTCCCACATCATTTTTTCTATTTCATCACAGGAGTTAGCCACACAATCATTTATTACTTGTTGTTCTTGCTGTATTGTATTTAAGTAAGATTCAAAAAACTGCTCCTGGAAAATTCACTATTGCTAGAAACTACAACAATACTAATGAAAACCACAATAGTTTTAGACAGTAGATTAAATGTTTAAAACTAAAATAAAAATGGAAGGTATTAAAGGATATAAGGATAATTTAAAATCATTAAGTCTAAAGTCTTACAGACTTTATGTTTAAAATATATTATGTGTTGGTATTGTTCAAGTGAAACTCACTAAATTAAGTAATTTTTTATGGTTTTATGCTATTTACATTTCCAAGACAGATTTTTATTCTATTCTTTTGATTTGTGAAATAGATGATGTTCTAGAGTTTGGGTGTACTAAATGATTAACTATTTTGCTATTTAATTAAAGTAACAGAACAATGAAAATGTCCAGGAAAAATTCATTGAACTGATTTTTTCTTCTTAAAAGCAATGATACATTTGAAAGTGTGTGAAAACTAATTTATCTTTTCTCTAGAGAAAGTTATTACATAGACAAATTTAACAAAATTAACTCCAACTTCCAAAATAATTTTTGTATGTAGTGAATTTCTCTTTTATGTCCATGGTATGATGTAAAAGTATTCAATTAATAGAAAAACTGCAAAAATGATTTGTATTCAAGTGTGCTGGAGTCTGAGGGTTAAAATATAATTGCTCTTTTTTATAGAAAAGTAAATTTTGTTGAATGATTGCTTAAAATAAGTTTTCATGTCATTCTCAGACTAATAATTTTCAAGCAGAGAAACACAACATAATCATAACCAATTAAACAAATATTTGTTTCCTGCTGTTTATTTTATAAGAACAAACATTGGATTGAATGAAATTTCTTAGTATTTCAGTACACAAAATGCAAACATACTTGTTGTTCCTTAGTTGGGTAATTTTCAGGACGAGCCCAAAAGTAGGGATGTTCAGCATTACTGTAATCATACATCCATTCACACATATGGTTGGCAAAGTCAAAGCCACGATAATTGTAAGCACAGTACTCAAAATCTATTACAACCAATTGATGTTCACTTTCTGCAAGCTGATCATCAGTTTGGGAAATTTGCTCACTGCTGTCATTATTATCACCATTTCTGAGGAGAATGTTTCCCTCCTGCACATCATTATGACAGAAAACTACAGGAGACTTAACAGCAATAAGGAATTGCCTGGAAAGAGGAAAATAATTTATAGTATGTCTAACATTGGTAACATTGGTAAAGTTATAAGAAGTAAGGGCCTTTATTGTTTCAAAAAAATGTCACAAAAATATAATACAATATATCTCTACTCCTGTTAGGATATTACATGTCTTGGGTCTCTCACTGTTAAATTTTTTGAACGGTTAATGATCAAAAAGTTTCAAGAATTACTCATAGGATTGAATATATTCTACCTTGCAAAACTTCAACATAAATGTAATTTATTTTAATAAAATGTATTTTGTTTGATGGCATACTTCCTAGGACAATATGTGCTGGCTTTCACATCATGAACTACACAAGACAATACATTCTTCAACATTTCTTTCAAATATGTACCGCAAACATTACATAATATTTGTTATAACAATCAACAATTACAAAAGTCAGAATGGCTTAAATCATAGTTATATCACTATATTGAAGAAATATTTCATGATAATGAAATTAAAAATATTTCTTTTTAATATTTTAATTTTTCTAGCAATCTATATATTAACAAATTTTTACTTTCAAAATAAAATATGGAACACAATGCCCCCCTATTAGTATAATTCAAGCGGTAAATAAATACTTGTAATAAATAACATGATCAACTATGTGAAAAAAAAACAACAGTATTTCAGCAGGAAATATTGTCTATATGCATAAATGTAAACCTTCAATTCTCATTTCACTCCTGCAGGTGCTGAAGTTTGAAAAGTAGTAACATGTGTAATAGAAACGTAAGATAAATTTTGTCTCTACCTTAAATGTTTTGGCTCTACAATGATATATTTGGACAATGAAAAATTGTATTTTTCTCTCTACTAGTTACTTACATACCGTATTTTCTCAAATATAAGACGAGATTTTCCCCCTGAATTTCTTAATCGAATAATACAGGATTGTCTTATATTCGCAGATTGAGCTCAGTCGGTTAGAATGTATGTTTTTACACGGCCTTTCCATGACACAAAACGTAAATGTTGACGTAACAATATAATAACGCCGATAAAAATATAACGGTCATCTATAATACCTAATTCTTTTCGCTGACGTATTCTCGACATTCACCGCGAATTCGCCGGGTGATTTCGGAATTAATGGGCCAGTAAAGAGAGATCCTTAAATCAATGGCTTCGTATCACGTGAAATGCAACGTGAAATTATAAAGTTATTCATTTTATAGAGATTTCATAACACGATGCACGGGATCGGATCGACGAACCCTTGTTTACTTTCGATTCGACACCCGGCGAGTGCGAATCTGTGTTTTGCACGAGATAGAAATTAAAAAAATTCACATTTATAGAGGCATATACGCTTTCTACATTCAATCACAAAAAAGGATGGGATAGATACTGTACAAGCAAAGACGAACCCAACTGAGAGACTTGCCGCTATCTCCCAGTTTACCCGCGAAACGAAGGATCAGAAATGTTCGACTTCGCAGTTCACAACTCGATTACACGATCATTAAACGGTGCGATTTTCAAGTATATTCAGTTAAAGAACGTGAAAGAACTGTTATAGAATCCGAGACCACGAATCAGATCAGAACAGGAAGGAAAACGAGTGACACAGAAGGGAATACTTTTAGTTGGCGTCGTTTGAAAAACCAAAAAACAAATTAAATGCGCAAAACTTTCAGAGGTGGACTAAAAAGAAAGGTCGGTGTAGTATGGGAGGAGGACCAAAAAGAAACAATGATATTAAATGCGCACGTTTTCTTGAGCCCCGAAATACCTCCCCCCACTCCTTTGCCAGCATTAGTTGAATGAAGAATAAATGATAGCAACGAGCGTTGTAGACAAAATCTGATAACCAGAAATGTTTGCTCCTCTGTAATAGAAACTATTTTGTACCGAAAAACAAACTACAAATTTGTTACAAAATTCCTTTCGTCAAAATAACCGTAACTCCCCACTCCTCTCGCAACTAGCGAAGCGAGGGCTCAAGAAAACGTGCGTGGATAATACACGAAGATGAGGAGGATAGTGATAAAAATCAAGATTACGATGATTTTAATATGTGAAAAAATAGGTCATCTCAGGCATAAGTTACAACATTCTTATTTACAACACAAATATCTAGTCAATTTTCAATTTTATTTTGACAAAATAGTACAAATTAGTTAAAAACTTAAGAAATTCTCAGCAGGCTTCTACAAAATTAGGATGTCTTCTTACATTTAGAGTCGACTTATGTTGAGTAAATACGGTAATATACAAACTTTTGCAAATAATAAAAAATAATAACAATGGTAGCAAAATTTTGGGTCTAAAACTTCTGCTGCGTCTTGAAAGTCTGTGTGAAGAATTGTACAAGAATTTACCATTCTCAACACCCGAACTCATTCCAAAAGCCATTTAACCTCTCTTAATCATGACATTTTATTGATAATCGTTGAAGATCGAATACAAAACATTGTTACTTACTTCAACCAAGAGAGTTCCTCCTTCAGTTCATAAAACAACAATTTTTTGCACATACTTTGAAACTCTGATGGTATTTGATCTTTTCCCATAAAAGTGTTGATTGTGTTCATCCACCTGCATTAAAAAATTGTATTAAACATAAAACATATATTATTTCATTAAATCTCATTGCTGAATGTGTCATTTCTTCCGAAGAAAGTTTTTGAAGACAAAATTATCATGAACTTTGACGATTTGCAAATGCAACAGTTGTTTTAGTAAAACAATGTTCTCACCATTATACTAAATAAAATGTATTTCTAATGTCTATCTTTCAGCTTACTTCATAATATTATCATATTATGTTGTGGGAGAAAATTTGTTTAGACCCGAGTTAAGTCCATAACTGACTTGAGCAAAGTAACAATTTATAACACTGATTAAATTTATACCATACTGACTCATTTAACCAAAATCTCAAAATTGTAAAATGAATATGTTTCAGTAAGACATGTTTTTACATTTTGAGTGCCTTACTATTGAATTTAAAATGTATACGTGAAGTTTGTTTTTTATTTATATTATCTTCTATTTTCCCTGAAGTTTATGAATCACGGGAACTATACATAACAGGATGTTTCTTTTTGTTGGCAATTCTCATCACAATTTAATGCATTTTATCAATGAGAAAACGAAACGAAACTTGATAGGCACATTTACCATTTTACAAGAGCAGTTTTTTTAATACATTGTACTTGCCTTTCCATAGTGTCCCATAACCAATGAGGCTCTTTGTTGATTGGTACATTCATCAAGTGAATTTGAGCCATTTTCTCAGCAATCAACCTGCTGAGCTTAGAATCGCTCAATTCCTTTGTCAGTAAAGGTCGTGCCTGCACACAAGAGAATAATACAACTTTTAATGAGGAAGCCCAGTAATACTATTCTGTGTAGCCTACGTAATTTTGCAAAATAATATCAGATTTAAATATTTAATGTGCATATTATATTCTTCCATAACATATTAATGAATGGCCAGTTTATCAAGAAAAGAACGGAAGAGAGTGCGGTAGATTTCACGGTGACGAGAATATTTAGCCCTCGGTGTAAGCGAGGAAGGGCGTTTAGGGTTTTTATCCTCCTTTCTCCGGGGGGGGGGGGAGTAATCAGAGTGGGGATTTCTCGTTACATATCACAGAGAGGATTTCAACAAGAGTGATCATGAAGAAGCGAAATGAAGCCTACAGATGTGTTCAGCACTACACGTACGTATGACGGGTTGCATATCCACGATAGAAATTTTGCCATTGAACAAGTTAAAATTAAGATTATTAATTCATTATTTAAAAAGAAATAAAAAAATAAAAAAATCAGTTTACTGGTTTGCCCTGACTGTCAATTACATTACAAGCTAACCGAGTGGTCTGGCAGAGCAATAATGAGATAGAAGAGAATTAAAGAGCACTGAATAAAGTCAACAAGAGGGAAACGCAGAAACGGACAAAGAAAAAAAAAGAAAGAAAAAAAAGAAAGAAAGACGCGAGTGAGAGGCGCGGAGGCTTGCGGGGCACCGACCGGGATGTACTCCTCGAGGCGGCCGCCGGGGAAGACGCCGAGCAGGCGCGGGCCGCGCTGGCTCTCGGAGAGCAGCGTGAAGACGACGGCCTCCGTCACGATGCCGTCGCGCACGCACTCGGCGCCGCACGGCGGCAGCTGCCCATACAGCCGCAGCAGCACCCGCGCCGGCGCCTCCGCCCCTGCCCCTGCCATCGCCGCCGGCAGCGCCACCTCGAACAGCAGGTTGCTCAGCCCGCCGCTGCAACACGGCGCGCACAGCGTCGGCTTAAAAGGGCGCACCAACTGTGGGCATAAACTTAACGCACCCAAAGCGTGCCACGAGAAATACAACGATTCTGTTGAAAGTACGATGTGGTTGTTAGCAGCATTGTAAATTGGTACATGCCGTTCCAAGTAGAACCAAACTATTTCAACGGGCCGTGCTATTCAGTGCTGGGTGAGGACTAGGAAGCTCGTGTATCAAGAAAACTTGTGCGTGTAATACTTTATTTGGTTGATTTGGGATTACTAGGAGGCGTATTGTGATGTCCTAAAACATTGCCAAAAGTGATAAATAAACTGCTCTTAAAATGCTTTAAAATTCCCTAAAAACAAAGCAAAATTACGCAAAAAATTGATCAAAACCACTTCTGATGAACAACTCAAGCTCTTGGGGATGTTACTGATGTAATCAAAGCTTCTTCCTTTTGTTCATGTGAACTCTGCTTGCAAACTTTTGGTTTGAACTGTTCTTCAAAAGAAAACCTTTGCTTTCATTTACTGCGGAATAGGTCGAACTGACAATGACGCCGATAAGCGTCACAGGAACCTTAGATTACACAGTACTCGCAACGACTGACATTACAATATATGAGCGAAGAAATCGAATAAGCTACTTAGGAATTCTTTGGCAAACATTTGTTGCATCTCATAAATATTGTTTGAAACAAGTACCATTAAATGATATAAAAATCGATGAAATCAGCGAAAAATGCATTAAAATTATGTCAAAATGTAAAAAATTAATTATCAGTAGAAATCGACGAAAAATGCAAAAAAGACATAAAAATGGGTCAATGACAAAAAATGACATTTCAATAAAATCCGGCCCAAGTGATTATGGGCGCGTCATCTGACAAGGTCATTAATCCCATGATTGTAGTGTATGTTCTTATCGCGGGAGGTGGCGGTGATCTCTTCCCGCGAGATCCGGCGCAGACTTACCCGTCGGCTAGCGGGTTTTTCCCCAATCGGTATCTCCCACCAGCGGGGCACCACCCAGCCGGGACAAGCTCTAAGCTCCCGATTAGTATCCCGACATGAGTGGTGCATGTAAGTGTAAATGTGCGTAAGGGGTGAGTATAGTAAGGAAGGGGAAGGAAAAATCGCGGGCGGTTCTAGGGTTGATCGGAGAAACCGCGGAAAACTACCGATCACAGCAGCCGGCCGATAGTATTCTCCTGCAGATAGCAGTTGAACGCTACCTAGTTACGCAGCTAGTGTCGAAAACCCTTCCATTGTCGGGGTTCAAAGCCTCGGACCTCCCGGGCAGGTGCACTAAGTGACATCACTTCATGCCCTGGAGGGGCTCATCATCTCAACATTAAGTCTGGAAGCGCCACAACAATGCCTTTGAGTGACGGAAACCGCGACGGTCGTTATTTCGTTAGGTTGGCTGCGGTGAACGTACAACTCCAGACTGTATATCTCTTTAAATGAATTTCCATGTTTATTGCTACTAATGCTTAAAATCGCTACTGCAACTAAAATGCCCAAGTATTGCGTAGCTTCCGCAAAGATAGAATTTGCACCAAATTCATAAGTTTCCGAGATTTAAATACGAAATTTTGTTTAAATATTGTAAATAAACATGTGATTTAAAAGCATTAGAACGTACTCGGTTTCAATTTTTATAGTTTTCGTGAACATAAAAAATAAATAATAAATTTCACGGGATATACTCAATTCCCGCCATTTGATTCTTAAAAGAATCGTAGTGTTTCAGGTCACAAGGAGAGAAAATACAGTCACCATCATGGCGGACGCGCGTACGTACCGTCACGATTTCTTGGAAAGTTTTATCTCCAGTCTACCCAAGAGCTTTCTGGGAAGGACTCGCCTTGCTATGTAGGCTGCGAACCAGGTCCGTAGCTAGAGAGAAGTGTAGGCCGCTAAATCTCCTTCCAATGCATTAAAACTAAAGGTGCTTCAACAACAATTACTTTTTCGCATTACTGGAAATTTTCTCATTTCATGGAAGTGAGCTTCCAATTTTTTAATATCATAATAAGCGATCAAAACTTCTTAAAGTAAAAAAAGCAATTCTTAGTTTTAAATTAAAACTATTACATTCCTTCAATTTATTTTCTTTTATAAGAATATTATCTACATCATACGATCATGACTTCAGGCAACAATGAGAATAATTTGAAACCGCCGTGTTGCGAACTGACAGCGTCAAACAAAGCGTGGCAAATTCGAATTTACAATTTCCGTAAAATACAGAGTGCGCCGAAAATAAGATCACCACCACGTTATTTACCATTCTTTTCTTCATACGTGAAAAAATAAATAAAAAAATTGGTGTCGATTTTGAGAAAATAATTGTTACAATTTAAAAATTGTCCATGTTTCATGCAAAATACTAATATTACCAAAAAATTAAACATGACCTTATTTGAAGATCTTTTTCTGATAAACCATTTTATTACATTTATTTACGCGTACATTAATAAATACTCAGACAATTTAAACATCGTTTAAGTATCTCCTTACTATCTTTGGCATTAGTTACATAGTCGTAAACAAGACTAATGTTATAATGTTAAGCCTATAAATACAACCTAGCAATACTTTGTAAAGTTAATGACATTAGTAACTTCGACTTTAATTCTGCTAATAATATCACCAAACAAGTGACGTGTAGCCTCCCGGCAAAGCGAGAAAGGTCGGGTAATAAACTGAGATTTTATGTGGCTTTTTGAGTACTGCCCCGTACTCAAATAGCAACATAAAATGAACTCATTTGTAGGATTTTTTTTATTTAAGGTCGCATCAGCACCAGGTAATTTGAAAGCACTATTTAACGGTAAGGCATGGTTAAAGCATTTAACGGTTTGGTAAATGAAGATGACATGATATGGTGAAGATAGGGGGTGAAAGGGCAAACACAAATACAACTGTGCTCGAGGCGGGACTCGAACCCACGATACTTCGGTCCGAGAACGCGACGGCACTACTGCCTTAACGATCCCAGCCATCCGGACAGGCGTAAGAAAGCTTGAAAGTGTTCTTTACAGAAAAGCAAACAAATCATAAACGCTATTCTGATTTACATTATAACTTTTGTGACAAGTGTGTTCAAGTCTTTTGTGTGTTCAAGTGTAAATACTTTATTATTTACAGAATAAATTACTGTCAAAAATTGAACCTAGTTAATCTTACTCTAGTTATCTCTTAATTTTTACATCCAAGGATTAATTTAATCAAATACCTTAGCCAAAATATGACATAACACACATAACGCGCAATTTACTTCGCGAGAATATGATTTTAACATTTCTTTCAATTCAGAAAAAAATAGTAAATACTCTTATAATTAAATGTACAGAGTTTATTGTAATAATTTGAAATATTATCTATTTTTCTAGTTTATCTGCAAGAAAGTTTAAAATTCTTTTATAAATTAAAACTTTTAACTGGAAGAATTTGTAAATACGATTCAAATGAAATGCATGCAATTGAAAAATAAGTGAGATTTATTAGATATACTTATTGTATATTTCGCACGCGAAGGATTGCAAATGACGTGATACGAAATTTAGTACTTCGTAATCGATGTATTTTTTACAATGCACATACAATGTGTTTGAAAGTTTCGTATATAAAACATTTTATATAATTGTCAGTTTAGATACATTTTTAATTACACATTGTAGACGCTACTTTAGAAGTTGTTTTCCTCGTATATTATTTAGTAACATGGGCTACTACTTACATTATTCCTATAGTTCTAACTAAGCTAATCATTTATGTTTAGCCTTGTTAGAGACTGTACTTGTAATCATCGGGCCAGACGTTATTCATTCATCTTTGAACGGCCATTCTTAGATCACGGCATGATTTTAACGTTGAACAGTAAGCTAACACTCGTCTTATGACCCAATATCGAAACATCTTGCGGCTTCAATATGTATAAGCTTATTTCCAATAAGGATTGGATTTAAGAGGGAGCTGTATACAAGGATATCACGTGCTTCAATTTTTATTTAAAATCAATTTTCAGTCGAAGTCGCCCTTACGTTTTTGAAGAATTGCCAAAATATCCTTCTGTAGATACTGAGTTACCACATTTATAAATTCAACCTATAACATTAATTTGCAGTTACTCTAATAAGAGCTCATTCCCATTATCTTCAAATTACAATCTCTCCTCAACTAAGACCAAGAATTTCGACCTACATGTGCTCAAATCGTATAACCAGCCTCAATGGTAGAGAAACGGCCTCGAAAGCGATTCTATTCCGATGGAGATGGAATATCGATAGTTCTGGCGGTGCAAGTTCGTACGACCTGTCGGCCTGGGACTACGACAGAATTAGGAGGTTCCTTCGTGCGATGTCACCAAAGCGTCGTGTTCGGGGCGGGGCCGACCTCGACGGAGCAGAAGGAGGGGAGCGGAAGGGAGGGGCGTGACGTGGCGTGGCGTGGCTGGGAGGTTGGGTGCGCGGGTCGGTCGTGCCAGGGACGCAATCCCCACCCCCACCCCGAGTCGCGTCGATAGGATCTGCGGGGGCGGGGCCCGGCCCTCCCATCGCCCAATTTATAAACACGGACTAGTTTGTGAATGTTCCCAGGTAATCCTTTGGAGACAATTGCCAAAAATATTACCGGCTTAGGTGGCTCAGGGAATCAATTTATGTCACTGAAGTGCGTCTGACAGGGAGGTCATAGGGTTGAAATTCCGTCGGCGGCCGGAGATAGAATACAGCCGTTGCCTGAAGGAGAATTCTAGCGGCCGGCTACTCTGATCGCTAGTTTTCCGTGGTTTCTCCGATCAACACCAGGCGAACGCCGGAGCAGTACCATAAAAACGGGCTACGATCCGGGCGCGATTTTTCCCTTATCTTCTTCGTTCTATCCTCACCCTTTGATAGAGCAGTGCGTGTCTTGAATATTATTTTAGCGGGGAGCGAAAAAAACCTGAACAAACCTCTCAGAATGAGAACGGATCAACACAGAACAACTCGAAAGTTTTGCGTACCAGAAAGAAACTTGCACACATTTACCTTACATGCACTAC